GCGGGGAGAAGAGAGAGGAAGAGAGAAAGAGAGACCGGAACAGGTGCTTGGATTACTTGGGGGAGAAGAGAGAGAGAAAGAGAGAGAGAGAAGAGAGAAAGAAAGAGAGAGAGAGAGATGGGAACAGGTGCTTGGATTTTCGGGAGGGAGCAGAGTGAAAGATGGAAAGATATGGGAGCAGGCACTTGAGAGTTTTGGGGCGCGGAGTGAGAGAAACAGAGACAGAGAGTGAGATGAACGGGCGTAGTTTGATGGGAGAAATGCGTAGGGAAATGTGATTAGATGGTAGGGAAGATGGGCGAGAGATTTAATGCAGTGCGTACAGAGATTCAAACAGACACAGAGAGAAAGCGAGGGAGAAAGGGAGAGAGGCAGAGCCAGAGAAACATTACATGTGGAGACCTCAACGGCAGCTGGATCTGCGAGCTTTCATATCCATCGTAAGGACGAAAGAGTGTGTACAGCTCTCTCTCCTTCACATCTTGTGGCAGTCCAGAAATGAATAAGGTCCTTACAACTTCACCTCCGTGGTCATCCCTGTCCGTTGACGTGTCCTCGCTCATCTTTCTCACCACCGACCACCACTTCACCTCCTCTCCTCCCACTCACACCTCACCTCCTCTCCTACCGCTCCCGATTTCCGACGCTGTACCTCCGATGCTACCACCGACTCTGCACACACCGAAGCTACTCAGCACCGACTACCACCTTTCCTTGTCTCTCCTCCCGCTCACTCCGACGCTATCCCTCCGATGGTCCAACGATGCTTCTCAACAACGACCACCACCTCCCCTCGTCTCCTCCCACTCACGATTTCCAAGGTTATACCACCAATACGACCACGGACGCTACCACCTGTCCAACGATGTCTTTCCTCCTTCGCTCCTCCTCAGACATTCTCCTCCTTCCTTGCCGCCGCTCCGCCAATATGCCGTACTTCAATGGATAACTGCATTCCCCATCACCAGAGGTCATCACAGCAGCCTGCATGTTAAATTCTGCGCATTTAAAAAATAAACACAAAGGACACAACAATAGCCAAAAAACAAAGAAAAAGAAAAGAAAAGAAAAAAAAAGAGAGAAAAGGAAAAACAGAGTCGGAGTAATCACCTATAGACGATGAGAACAAGTCGGCCCGTCTTTTCTTCTTCTTTAAAATTGAACAAGAGAACGAAGAAGAATGCAAATCTGGCTCGCTCGGGTGACAAAACCGAAAGGAATTTGTTTTAACCGAAAGGAATTCCGTTTTAAACCACCACTCCCCCTCATCGCCGAAAGTCGACTTCCCGGGGAGTTAGGGCCGAAAATGGAGGGGGATCGGCGACCTAAAAATTTTTATTTTTATTTTTCGGCGCGCGGTTTTGATTTCAGGCGCTGGACTTTTCATTTTCTTTTAGGGGGAAAAAACAGAAAAAAAACACGCAGTGAACCTTCCAGCAGAAAACGGAAATGTACACTGCAATCATCCATGCGTGTCAGGGGCAGTGGATTCAGGCATGAAATGGGGGGGCACCTGCAGTTACGTTTTCGTTTTTTTTTTGCAGAGTTAAAAAAAAAAAAAACAAGAATGAAGTGAGGCCCACCCTGTACTACCGGTAGGCCGAAGGTGAAATACTAATATCGGCCTACCGGTCCCCCCTACTTTACGACGTCGGGGGTAGCGGTGGTTTAAATTGTTGACCTCAATCACTGATGAACCTGGTCGAGAATCAGACCAGGAGCATGGCATTATTACACTTTTAAGTTGCGGTTGAGCTGTGATTGCGGTTCGACGGACTCTCCCCCGCCCGCAACATAGGGTCATCACAGGAGCCGTATTTGGTGCATTTTTCAGGCCAGATGCATACGATGGATCACCCACGTTCTATTCGAGCAAAGGCGCCGGCGACTATGACTCCAATCATGATCTCCATCCCAATCCGCCTGCTCATCACGTTGATTGCGACAACCCTGCTTCTGATGATGATTATGATGATGATGATGACGATGATGATGATGGATGATGATGAAGATGATGATGATGATTGAAGACGATGATGATGACGACGACGACAATGATGATGATCACGACCATGATGATGATTATGACGACAACGATGATGATGATAATGATGATCCTGCTCCTGATGATGATGATGATGGCAATGACGATTGTGAAGATGGACATGAGGGGAGAGCGTCATGATAATAATGATGAAGATCATAACGACGACGATGATGATCATCATAACGACGACGATGATGATGATAATGATGATGATCGTGCTCCTCACGATGATGATAATGATAATAAATGACGATGACGATCGTGAAGGCGGACATAAGCAGGGGAGCGTCATTGTAATGATGATGACGATGACGACGATGATGATAATGATGATGATAAAATGACGACGATGACGATTGTGCAGATGGACATAAGGAGCGGAGAGCGTCATGATGATAATGGCAACGGTGCCCATAACGATGATGACGAAGACGACGAGAAGGGGCGGGAGGGCGTGAAATTGATCATGACGATGACCGGGACCGCGACAAGGATCAGCGTCCCGATCGAGGTTGCGCGGGACTTCTCCCTCCTGAGTTCCTCAAAAATTCCCAGTCCCATGAATTCCTCAAAAAATCCCAGTCCCACGAGTTCCTCAAAAATTCCGTGTCCCGTGAGTTCCTCAAAAGTTCCCGGTCCCTTCCTCAAAAAATCCCGGTCCCTTCCTCAAAAATTCCCAGTCCCATTTGTCTTACCATTCGAAGACTAAATAGGAAAGGACGTTGGAGGGGGAAGACAAATCTCCAGTGAACTTTTGAGGAACTCCTACACCATAAAAATTTTCATTATTTTATTTCTTCTGTAGAACTAGCATAACAAACATCTTGGGTAAATTTGTCGTTCGGCCCCTCGACAGCGCCCACTCGACCAAAAAAACAAAGAAAAAGAGCGGCAATACCACAACGACAAAGGGAAAACAAGGTAAAAAAAGGTCAAAAAAGGTAAAAAATACCCAAAAAAAGACGGGTGTCCTACTGCACCACTCCTCACTTCCTCTGCTTGTTTTTTCTCCGCCGACTTTTCTTTCCCTCTGCTTTTTTTTCCCTCTGCTTTTTTTTCCCTCTGCCATTTTTTCCCTCTGCTTTTTTTTTCCTCTGCTTTTTTTTTCCTCTGCTTTTTTTTCCCTCTGCTTTCTTTTCCCTCTGCTTTTTTTTTCCTCTGCTTTTTTTTTCCTCTGCTTTTTTTTTCCTCTGCTTTTTATCCTTTCCTGCCTAGACGCATATCCACTGCCACTTTTTTTTTTTTTATTCCTTTTTTTCTTTAGCATTGGTGACACTTTCTCTACTCGACTGCCCTCTAGCCCTCCTCCTCGTCCTCCGCCCCCACCATCCGGTGAATCTCCACCCACCTGCGTCCTCCTCCTCCACCCTCCTCCTCCTCCACCCTCCTCGTCCTCTCTCCGCCACCTCAGCCATATATGTGTGGGCGAAACCCCGACAAAACAGTTTGTCACATTCCCCCTCTCTGCCTACGGATTACCGAGCAGTTCTCTTTCGCGATATATAAACTCATTCATATATATGGTCAGACAGAACTGCCCTGTAAACCGGAGGCAGAGAGGGTAAAGAGGACAACAAACGAGGGGTTGTGACAATCTGCTTCCGGAGTTTTCACCGACTGATCAGGAGGCTGAAATATATATATTGTCAAATACGTATATATCGTCAAATGAATATCAGAGCGCAAAGGCTAAAAAAAACAGAAGAAAACAAGAAAAAAATAATTCGTTTTTTTATCTTCTTTCTTACAACTCCCCCTGTTCAGAACCTCTTGCGTACATCGTCAAATATGTATATATTATATAGGGTTCAGCATCCTGATGAGCCGGTGAAACTCCGACGAAACAGCTTGTCACAGCCCCTAGTTTGTTGTCCTCTTCTCCCTCTCTGCTGCCTACGGTTTACCGGGCAGCTCTGTTTGACGATATATAGCATCAAATATATATATTGTCACATTTTGAATCAGAGCGCAGAAGCGAAAAAAAAAGGGGGAAAGAAAAAAGGAAAAGGAAAAAAGGGGAAGGGGAAGAGGTAAGGAAAGCTCCACCTGTTCAYAACCTCTTACGTACAAGGCCAGCCACGTGGATGACAGGTTGAGCGCTGGCTGCCCCCATCCCCGTGTGTCACAAGGACCCACTTGCACGCAGCCAAAAGGCAAAGAGGTAAAGAAAAGGAGGAGGAAACCAAACCTGACAGGGAAAGAAAGATAGGGAAAGAAAGATAGGGAAAGAAAGATAATCCAATTATCACAAAGCAAATAACACATCCCACAGATCAACGTATCTTTTTTCTTTTTTTCTTTTTCTCTTTTTCTTTTCTTTTTTTTTTTTTACCTGTCCCCACCTCGGCAGATAGGACAGCTACGGTGAGGATGATGTGGATGTTCACAAGGATGCCCAAGGAGAGCTATATATTGTCAGATTGTGAATCAGAGCGCAAATAAGGGAAAAGAAAAAAGGAAAAGGAAAAAAGGGGAGGGGGAGGAGGTAAGGAAAGCTCCACCTGTTCATAACGTCTTACGTACAAGGCCAGCCACGTGGATGACAGGTTGAGCGCTGGCTGCCCCCATCCCCGTGTGTCACAAGGACCCACTTGCTATATATCATAATATATTGTCACACTGTGAATCGGAGCGCAAAGGCGGAAAAAAACAAAACAACAAAAGGAAAGATGTAAGGAAGGAAAGCTCCGCCTGTTCATCACCTGTTACGTACAAGGCAAGCCACGTGGATGACAGGTTGAGCGCTGGCTGTCCCCATCCCCGTGTGTCACAAGGACCCACTTGGACTCAGCCAAAAGGCAAAAAGGAGGAGGAAACCAGACCTCACAGAGGCAAGAGAAAGAGAAAAGGATCCAATCAAAGAAAGGACAAGGGAAGAGGAAGGCCTATCAGTCGAACAAAGCAAATGACACATATATACGTCACAGCCCCTCATTTGTTGTCCTCTTCTCCCTCTCTGCCTACGGTTTACCGGGCATTTCTGTTCGACGATATATATCGTCACAAAGTTATCAGAGCGCAATGCGGAAAAAGAAAAAAAAAACAGAAAACAAGAAGAAAAAAAAATCGCTTTTTTATCTTCTTCCTTACAGCTCCCCCTGTTCAGAACCTTTTGCTTACAAGGCCGCCCACGTGGATGTAGGTTGAGCGGCGGCTGCCCCTACCCTCGTGTGTCATATCGACCCACTTGCACACAGCCAAAGGGCAAAGAGGCAAAGAAAAGACGAAGGGAACAGCCAAACACAACAAAACAGGGGGAAAACAAATCCTAGATGACAAGTCCCACATGCATATATATCATCACATGAATATGAGAGCGCAAAAGCGAAAAAAAAGAAAAAAGAATGAATTCGTTTTTTATATCTTCTTCCTTACAATATTGTCACAAATATATGGGTTCAGCCTCCTGATGAGTCCGTGATACTCCGACGAAACAGTTTGTCACAGCCCCTTGTTTATTGTCCTCTTCTCCATCTCTGCCTCCGGTTTACCGGAGCAGTTCTGTTTGACCATATAGATATATACATATCGTCACACAAAATAAATAGATAACACATATATACATCTGTATGTATAGATATACATACATATCCACGACATTCTATATACTGCTTTGCGCATTTAACTTTGACGTTTCTGGCCGCAATTACGTCGGTTTGCTAACCGAATCGCCAGGGCTTATCGGGCTCCCACCAGCAGGACCTGACGATTTCGCTTCAGAAAATCGCGGCGAAACTGCGGCCACCAACGTCAAAGTTAAATGCCCAAAGGAGTACTATCACAAATTATCAGTTCATACTGCATCCATGGGTACGCATGGATATTCTCTGATATACGTAATAATATATATCGTCACAATATAAGTTCATATATAACACTATATTGTACTCCAGTCGCTCGTAATTCAGGCTTCTGCCTCTCCTCTGCCTGTCGTTTGCTCTTCCCTCATCCTCGCCCCTGCTGGTGTTAGGTCCCCCCCCCCCCTCCTCCCCCCTCCCTCCCTTTTCCTTATAAAACTATATTGTACCCCACCCCGCTCCTTTCGCACTGCTTACCGCAGACTATCCGTTTAGAATGGAGGAAAGGTGTTTTCACACCAAGACTTTCCTATACGTATCTGACCGCAGTTCTGCCCAGATTCCGATCGAAAAACTCCTTCGGTAAGTGGGCCCTGAATCTGAATTCACCTTTCCACCTGCCCTCCTTCCCTGCCGTACGTTCCCTCCACTTCCATAATTCCTACTTCCACTCTTAAATCCCTTCGACCTCCTCCCACTTCACGAATCCCTGCCAGTGTGAGTATAACCTCCACCTCCCTCTCCCACTACTGAACACACACAGACACGTTGTACATCTGACAGAAACCTTCGCACGCTCTCCTCTGAAGGAGTGCTTCGCACGCAGCGGCATAATATTCACACTGGCACTTACTGTAAATGCATGTATCTGACCACAATGACGGGCGGGACCTGGACGAGAGCTTAGTGGAAAAAGTCCTGGTGTGAGTATGCCTCAGTTTCTTCACTTTTCGCTCCTATTTTATTGCTTTTCCTTACTGATTCTCCTCATCAATCGCTATCCTCACTTCCCCTCACTCCCTCCCTCCCTCCCTCCCGCCTTCCAACCACCCTAAACAGTTCCCATAACACTCCCATGCTTCGCTTTCGCGCCATCTCCGTCTTCAAGCCGTTCGTCTCCGAGGCCTTCCTTCTCGAGCATTTACACCCCTTTTCCACCTTTCCCTTCCCATTTGCCGCTTCGTTCTGATTTTCCCCCTCTCCTTCCTCTCTCGGCCAACAGGCCCTGCCGCCAAAAGAGGAGGACAAGCGCGAAAAGAAGCGGGCGAAGCACAAAAGGAGGGAAAGCGCAAAAATAAGAAACGAGGTAAGAAAAAACGCCGCGACGTCACGCCAGCAGGGCAGAGCAAACTCGGAGGAGGGAGGAGGGAGGAGGGAGGAGGGAGGAGGGAGGAGGGGGAAAGAAGGCTGAGGGAGGAGGAGAGACGACCCCGACCCCTACGAAAAAAATGGAGCAGAGAAATGTTTAAGGGGTGGGCCGACATACCTTGCAGTCGATAATGGTGGACAACCACTGCTGGGCTATGGCGACCGAAAGCGACCCGAGGGGAAGAAGACGACCGAAAGCCCCGAGGGGTGACAACGTCCAACGTCCAACGTCGGCGATGGTAGGCCGGGCTGGGAAAACTACGCAGTGTACGCACACGCAGCAACCTGGGGTTTGGTGATGTCCTTGGTGATGTCCTTCGGCGAGATGCGCGACCCGCCGCAGATGGAAACTGGTAGGATTGACGAGCCAGCCGCACGGCCGCGCGCTTTTTTGGTGAAGGAATCCGATTTCCGATTTCCGATTCCCGATTCCGACACTAGTGTCGAAGTGACGAGATTGGGCGCCGCTCGTCTCGTTTTAGACTTTCAGGCGGCGATGATGTCGCAATGTACGTGGACTCGATCAGCGGAAGAGGAGTACATTCACCACGGAATGTGGACACCCGCTGCTACTGAAGTTCCTGGAAGCCCCCCAGTGGAACTCTCCCGCCTCTTTTCAATGGGGAGCGTTTCCGAGGAGCGCGCCCCCCCAACCCTTTCCTGATCGGAGCTACCGGGGGCTAGGTCCCACTTGCACGAATTAAGAGATACTGACCGTAGATAGCAAGGATCAACGGCCGCAATCTCCTAATTTGCGCAACCGGGACCTTGCCCCGGGGACCGTGTCCCGCTTGCAGGAGTACTTGGCCAAGTACCCGGCGCGAGTGGGACACTCCGCAGTGTGCGACCGTTGATAGAGCCATTGCTCCCGTTTCGATCGCAGGCCTAGGAAACTTCATCGGATTTCTTTCAGAACGATTTCGTTATACCCCTCAAAGTTGAGATAAATGCCAAATACCCCTAAAAGATGTGGGTGGAGCGGAATGCCCTTTTGTCTGAATTATTTTTGATATGCCCGTCTGGCCTGGGGACGAGTTCGCAATCTGCACCTCTACGTTGGGGACCGGGCCTGCACCCTCTCTTACCCAATCTGCCCTCCCTACCCCGGGATAACTTTGCACAATACCCAGGCCCTACACGCCGCAATTTGGGACTCTAAATTCAAACATTCGAAATGGTAGCTGGCCGTTGGCTGCCTCACACTGGGTTCGTCTCCTTCCTGGTAAGTTCCTCCATCTCCTCCATCTCCTCCCTCCTCCGCCCTCCCCCTTCCTCTAAAGTCTCCTCCCTCTTTGTGTTATGTGTGCATGCATATGTTTGTGGATGGGTGCGTGACAAAGAGAGTGAGAGAGATGGGGGTGTATCTTCCCATCTTCCATCCTGCGTGATGTGCTTGAGAATAAATCTGTCAGTAAACTTGGGAAGATACACCGCCATTTTTATTGTCTTGTGTAGTCATGTACCATCCCATTGCTCTCTTTCTCTCTCTCTCTCTCTCTCCTCCCCCCCCCTTTTTTTTTTCTATCCACGATCATACATCCTTCTGTTTCATCCACCTCTACTCAGAGAACGAATTTGCCGCTACAACATGGGAAGATACACCACCATATTTATTAATTGGAAAAACCGAAAAAAACTGCGGTGTATCTTTCTACGTTGTAGCGAAGGATTCATTCTCATTTTACATGCAGTGGAGGATACTGAATATGTCGGCAAAACACAGAAAGATACACCGTCATTTTTGTTGTTTTGCTTATTCTTGTATCATCTCATTGTTTATCTCATTGTTTCTCTCTCTCTCTCTCTCTCTCTCTCTCTCTCTCTCTCTCTCTCTCTCTCTCTCTCTTTTCCCATGATTCTATAAGGGGACGTATTGAAAATATAATGTAGGCCGTTAGGGGTAAATTGAAAATTAATTGGGATATTCAAAAGTTGGCACATAAGGGGCATTTTGAAAAGTTGGACCGGTACCTGGTAGGGGTACATTGCAAAGATGGTAGGTACAACTGATGCGAAGGGTATTTTGGTATGTCGCTCTACCTATATCTTTTAGGGGTATTTTGACATTTATATAAACTTTGAGTAGTATAATATCAATTTTTTCTCTATTTTTTTAAATTATCAGTACCTCCGAACCTGTTTCACTGCGGTCCGAGTTTGCCTAGCCTGGGTACCACTCCATTTTCTTTCTGGTACTCTCACGAGAAAAAAATAAATAAAAAAAATTACGGTCGTGAACCTCATGAAAAAATAAAAAATAAAAAAAAAATTTGGCCATGATTGCAGTTGTATACATTATTGGAAGTGGTCGTATGAGTGTGCCCTCAATGAGGGCATCTCAGCCCCGTGCCCAGGTTGTCAGATTCCAAAAAGATAATAGAAGGGGGGAAAAACAGGCACATGGATCCGACCGTGAAAATGACTGAATACATTCCCCTAAGTGCCAGTATGATGAGCCTTACAATCCTTTGACAAAACACAACTTGAGCAGATCACGGACAACTTGAGCAATTCACGGACAGGGGACTCATAAAAAGCACACGACTAAGAAAAAAAAGAAAACAGTAACATTCAGAATGTGACCGCCTTACCTGTAAGGTGCATTCTATGGAGGAAGATTGTGAGCACGACCTCATGAACTACCCCGCCCGACATCATTGTAGTAGAGAAAACATTTTTTTTCCCCTTTTTTCTTTTGCTCGCGACACTATTAAATTCATATTTATAGGACATTGCCGACCCCGTGTCCCATCCCCGATTTCTTCAGGAGCTGGCAAAACGTCGTAATTTCCCAACATTGGCAGAGATACTTGTGGTTTAATCCAAAATAACATATATTATTATAGTCGGATTTCTGTTTTATTGTTTTGTTCTTCTATCTTTGAGCCTCATTTTCTCAAGGCGTGGTAGAATTGCGCATTAGGCTTTAGCCGAAGCGTCAGCGTGGCGGTTTTGGGTTTGCTTTACGGGGCGCCAACAACCTTTTTTGTACGGTAGTGCCCATCTTCCGCTGGGCTCCGAAAAATGCGGAGTTGAGTGCATCGGTACCGCAAGGGGACCCTCCTTACCGTGTCACGCAAGATTTTGCAGGACTTGTCATGTAGAGCGTTGCAGCTTCTGCCGAGTGCCAGTGTGCCAACCATACCTCTTGCGAACCCATACGACAGGATAAGGTCATGCGAGATACAACTTACCTTCACCCATGGGATTTGTCACCATCCCCTACGTGGGCGTATCCCCGTCGAGCTACCAAATCACATGCGGAAAGTTTTCATCTATAATCGCAGAGGTGACCCGAGTCACCCGACCAAGGGCATTTCTCGTTCGTTGTAGCATAGGGCGTACACGAGGTTAACGCCCGAATCCGACTCGTATATTAATTATTTGTGATATGTCCGTCTGGCCTGGGGAAAAATTTGCAATCTGCACCTCTACGTTGGGGCCCGGTGTCGGGCGGCTGCCTAACAGCTGAAGGCTTTTCTTTTTGGGACCACAAAATTTTCAAACGTCCTTTTGTTTTTTTTTGCATGGCTTGGGTGTATGTATGCGTGGGGTTGTGGGGTTTGACGGGAACCTTGGGGTCTTTGACCTCCTTACTAACCTTGGGATGAGCAGGCGACACGACCAAGGCAGCAGTCTCAAGCGGGGCCGTCTGGATCTCTAAAGTCAGAGTTTTTTTTGTTGCTCTGAGAAAGCCAGTTGGTGACGCGTTCTGAGGTGAGGTGAGGCGTCACCCTTGGAGCTAGCAGTCCGCTCGCCACCGCCATCACGAATCGGCCCAGGTACGACCCCCGAAGATAATCGCAGAACCCATTTGATCTGCGGCGTGGTGCAGCGGCAGGGACCGAACTACTGGCGGGGTCGGCTTCGCACACGGCACGTGGACCTAAAACCAGCGATGGATGTAGCATTGCGGGATCGGAGGGGGATGGTGGTGCTTAGGATCTCCGAGGGAGCCAGGGCTTACGCGCTCACGCATCTCCGAACGGGCCCACAAGGGGGCAGCAGGTGAAGGAAGGCGAATTAAAAACTCAGGAAGAGTCGAATGAGGGGAAAGGGACTGATGGGGGAAGGAACAAGAAGGGGTTTTTGTGCCGAAAGGCAGAACGAGGGGTGTCGAAGAGACGCGAAAGATCGAAAGACGTTTGAATGATGAGAAGGGGGGGGGGAGTCCGCGCGATAGAGAAGAGCTGACCAGGGAGCAGATCGGCCTGGACGGTTGAACGGGAGAGCGCTCGCCCTCCTTTCTTGGTAACCGTTTTTGCGGTAGACGGAACGAACAAAAGGGGAGGGAGCGCCAGGATGAGGAGGCAGAGGCGTCAAAGACAACAAAACCCCCGATTGTAGATGAGCCGTGGCTGGCGGGGCCCAGTAAGGGGGGATTGGACGGAGGAGAGAAGGGGGGATCGGCGGAGAAGGAAGATCAAGGGATTTAGGGGACCTGGCCTACGTGTGACGGATGACTTCGCCCCTGTGTTTCTTGGTAACCATCCTGGAAGAGAATACGTAACTGGTTCTGGGGCAAGGAGCTGTAGGGAGGATGCACCCGGGCCGAAAACGAGTCTGAATACGGAGTCTTGTGGTTGGTCGAAGGTAGTGGCTGACATGGGCAAAAGAGCTCGGAACGCAGTGAAGAGAGGGACGAGGGTGCAGCGGGAGGAAGTCGGACGCAGTCGAGCGGGAAAAGAAAAAATTTCAAATTTTTGATGACGGACGGCGACAGGACGAAAATGTTGGAGGAAGCAAGAGGAAAAAGGAAGAAAGAAGGGTGATTGGTAAAGTCAGAGAAGAGGAGGATCGAAGGAAGGCGGGCCGAGAGGTATAAAAGAAGGGAAGAAGGGAAGAAGAGAGAGGAGAGAAGGAGATCAGACGCACAGGGCTGCTAAGTGTTAAGGCGCACGAGCCGGGTATCGAGCGCACGTCCGCGCCCGATCGAGGAACGCACGGCGAGGCGTGGATAGCGCCGAGGGCCAGCCCTCGGGGTAGAATACTGTGATACGGGAATGGACACCGGTTGGGAGGAGCGGACGAGGAGGAGGGTGATCGCGGCTGCGAAGAGTACCTCGAGAAGACGAAGAGGGCGGAGCAGCGAGGGAGCTAGCGGAGGGACCGATCGAAGGAGGCCGGCCAACTTCAAGGCTCTGGCAAACGGCAGCCATAGCAGGCGGCGAGCGGCGGAGTGAGCTCGCAGGATACCGAACAACCGCAAGGCGAACGGTTAGACCACCGGGGTTGCACCCAGAGAGAGAGAGAGCCGAGTTTCTTCGTGTGGCCTAAAGCACGAACATACGAGATCAGTGGCTAAGCGATTTCTCGAGAGGAGGGGAGGGAGGACAACAAACAAGGGAGGCGCGTGCGAGCGAGGTGAACAAGGAGGCTAGGAACTTCGTTCGGAGAGAGCAGGGG